CCTGTCCTCTCTCTCTCTCTCTTTTTTTGGGGGGTTTTGGGGTTGGTACAGACGCCCGAGGCCATCGATAATAAATTGCACCCCTCCACACTAAAGGGATATCCTTTATTATTATTACATCGGCTTCATCCCCGTGCACGAAGCATTATTACCTTTACAGAGAGAAAAAAAAACCTGTACTAGGATTACGTCTCTTTTACCATATAGATTTTTCCGCTTCACGTAATCATCGTTTCCTTCTATTATTATATCATTTTTTCTCCCTTCCTTTCTCTTCAGCTAAGGCTTCCTGCAAATTTATTGTTATTTAAAGAAATGTAAATGTAATTTTCGACCGGGTCGAACTTTAAACGCTTATTGGGGTGGGCGAAAGTCGCAAAACGGCGACGACGTTAAGCGAAGCAATTTCGGCGAGAAAGCCTCTTTGGGCCCAAACTCACCGAATTTACGGTCGCCGCATCAATTTTAATCCGGTGCAAATTTCACCCTCACCTTTATACACACACACACATGTCGTTTCATTTTAATGCCGCCCCCTGCGATCCATTCAACGTTGGATCTTGTGTTCTGCCATAATTAATTTCTTACGAGGAATAATGAAGATTGAATAAAATGCGGAAATTTCTTCTCGCAACAAAGAATCTTTTTTTTTTAGTGAGAAGGATGGGTGGTGTAGGGTGCAGGAGGGTTTGTGGGTGGCTAATAATCCGAGGCGCGCGATGAATGAATGGACCGCAGCCTTCTTCCTTTTTTTTTTGTTTCACTATCATTAATTTTTGTTTTAACCATAATTACCGGCATTAACAATTCGGGGAGGCCGCTCATTAAAGGAAAGGGTTTCTCATCATCAATCTCGAGATTACCTAAACCTCTTTTCCCCAACTCTCACATAAATTCCTTTCTTAAAGCGAATTAAAGTTTACTTAAAAAATTATGTAATTTTTAACTACATCCAACCTGCATTTCTTAAAATATTTCATTAACATTTCAACTTTAAAATATTTGATAAAAATATGTAAGTTTATTTTTATTTTCTTTTGATTTGTACAGTTTTTATTAGTATTTAAATTTAAAACTATGTTCATTTATTCAATTTTCAATTTATTCATTAAGAATATTTAAAACTTAAATGTAATGGAAATAGAATTTCAATACTAAATGTACTTTAAGTGTTTTCTGTTATTAATAAATACAATATTTGGATTTTGATATTGTAGGTCAAATGAAATTATTATGTTTTATATAAAAATATAATAAATTTGGGGTAAATCTTATAGTTCTAAAATTTAGAGGTGAAATGAAATGAAAAGTTTCATTATATTTTCATGTTTGTCCATAATTGGTTTGTGAGTCGTAAGTCCGGATGTTTCAAGAAATGTAAATGTAATTTGAAAGGAATTTGGCGGAGGCGTTTTCTGCGTAAAGACCAGCAAGCAATTCCGTTAAGCATCCGCAATTCTGTCCTCCTCGAAGGAGAAAAGGAATGGGAAACAGGGGGTGAAGGGATGGTTTTGGCCCATCGTGCATCCCGAGCGAAATTGATGATTTAGACCCAAGGACTTTTGCATATATATTATGGTATTCTGATAAGCCGGGCAATTAGAATGCAAGATAATCCTTTGGCTTGTCTAGCGAAAGCGCATATCGGAGATCCCCAGGTAACAAGACAAATCCCCGCGTGATCCTGAGGCGGCTGCAGCCACGAAATGCCGCCGCCGCTTCTCTCTGTTTCTCCTCTGCCTTCATATCATTCAATCAAGAAATGTAGCAGGAAATATGGGACGGTTTGTCGTTGTTTCTCTCTCTATCTCTCCTTGCATATATCTGCTTCTCTCGCTTGTACATACGTATTACAGTGTGTGTGCGGCGCGGAATTAGGTTTTCGCAGTCTGGTCTAGTCGTGCGAGAGGGAGGACGAAGAAAGTAGGGATGGAAATCCTGGAATTGGTATTATATCTTCGTCTCTCTTCCTCCCTCGTACTCTCCAGCCAAAGACAGAGAGAATATAATGAATCCGGCTCGCAACATTTGACTTTTAAAGCATCCCCGAAATTCCGCCGTCTTTTCTTTCCTTTTTTTTTTTCTTCCTTCCATCCATCCATCCGGCCTACTTAAGGGGTGCAAATTGCAGCTTCATTCCAAATTTATTATATCAATATTTCCTAATGTTTCTTCGGCTCTCATTTGCATCGCCGCCAGAAGCTTGGAAGACGGCGACAACGAAGGGGAAGAAGGAACTTTTTTCTTCTTTTGCATTATTATTATTCTTCCTCGGAAAATTAAAATTTCTGATTACCTCGCAATAATTGTTCCATTATCCTAATTAATCTCTTCCGCCCATACATTTTCCATTCAACAACTGCAATATTCAGTTGTTCTAGTACCAATCAGTACAAATATACAAAACAATTGCTGTATTAGAAAACAAGAAATATGATCCAAATTTTAACATTAGAAAGCTTTAAATTGTGAAATAATCAAGGACAAAAGGTGATGGAAAAGTCAAATTAATATAGAATTATAATTGTCCTTTGTGTTCGTCACGATTTTCGCTTAGGAAAGCATTGTTGAAGATGAGGATTCTTCAATTTCTTGCAGCAAATCGAGCAAATTTCCATCGATTCATACGTACAAATCGATCGCTGCTTCGGTCCAATTGTGATGCAGGTCATCATTGAATGCCCTTTCACAATGGGCGAAAAATTGCGATAAATGATTTACGACCGCTGCAGAAACCTACAAACATATATATATGGTGAAAAAAAAAAGAGCAAATAAGAGAGAGAGAGAGAGATAGAAAAATAAAAAAGTATATATCACGAAGAGGAAAATATATATAAATCGCATGCTTTTATTCTTCGGATTGTCCAATAAAACAGAAAAAAATCCATGCAGAAAGCATACATCATATTTTATGTTTGTTATCCTCTCTCTCTCTTTCTAACATACATAAATTCTATTTCCTTTTCTTTTTTTTTTGGTCGGTCCCTGTGGGCCTTTTCGTGGAACCTTTCTGCACACAAATAATAATGAACACGAGCGGCAATCCTCCGAAGCGTCGGGACGGGAGGACAAGGAGGACAAAATAAACGATTGCACACGTTTGTGCGGATGACGGAAATATAAAAATAAATATAAATTTTTGCTAGCATGTGATGAAAATAGATAAAAAAAAAGAAATGATTGTATGACCTGACGAGAAGTTTGAATATTCCGCGTGCAGATTCATACCGAGTTATATAACTTTGTTAATTTTGAGGATTTGAATCGCCGCTAAACGTTCAGTTTAGTTCAGTTCAGTTCATAGTGCTGGTTTATTGTCGAAGTTGTAGAATTATTATGTCATTGATTATTACAACAAAAAATATACATTTATTTTGAAAGATTTAATCTAAACTTTATCTTTCTCTAAAAATCATCAAATTAAGACATTTATTTATACATGCTGAATGAATTAAGTTTTCAAAAAACTTTATGAAAGTTTGTTTAAGTTTTGATTAATTTAAATTTTATTTAATATAATTGAAATTTTGAATACAATGAAATTTTGCTTTTTTAAAAAAAATGTATTGGATTTGATTTTTGTATGGGAATGAAACTGAATGATGTAGTCTACGTAATACAATAATAATTTTGGATGTGGATTGGAATTTGAACTGGTTTACTACATAGATTTTTTTAATGTGGAAATTTTTGTACGAAAATGTGTCTTTCTCTCTGGTCGCACGTGTTTCCACCTGATTGTTACATTTATTGCGCAGCAATTTTTGCTTGTATTTTTTTGTCTGCGCTCTTCGGTTTTCGCCGCCGCTAAAAATCGTTGGAATTTCATTTGGCTTTCGTTTCCTTCCCATTAGGCCGAGCCGAAAATGGGATTGCGCTGGGCGCTTAATAGCGCAATACAGCTTTTTCCCGTCCTTCCCTCCCCCAACAGTTTTAACGACGACAGTCACGCTCGAATTTAATTATGTCCTCCTCCTACACCACTTGTTCCTCCTCCTCCTCCGCCCTACTATATGTGCATATTTAATGCCGAAACAGTCGAAGACGACTTTACATAATGACACACTCCCACTCGATTCACTGTTCTATTTTTACTCTTCACTTTATCCACTGCACCGAATGAAATACGACAATAAAAGAGAAAAAACGTAGCTTTTAGTAATTGTTAGGAATAAAAAGTGCTTCAAGTTACAATTGTTTAGCATTCATAGATCCATCTAGAAATATTATTGTGTTAAAAGTAAAATTAGTAATTATAAATTTTATAATTAAATTTTTAATTATTTAATTATTATGCATGCATTTTTATAAAAAATATACAATCTTGTCAAAATATTTTGTAGAAAAAATGTATAGAAATTGTTCAAAAAATTGGTTTGCTTATAAAAAAATTGTTCTCTTTGAAGATGTTGATGATAAATGAAGGAAGATGCAATTAAAAGTGAAGGTAGTTGAAAAGAAATACAAACTTGTGAAAATATTTTGTAGAAAAAATGTATAGAAATTGTTCAAAAAATTGTTTTGCTTATAAAAAGAACTGTTCTCTTTGAAGATGTTGAAGATAAATGAAGGAAGATGCAATTAAAAGTGAAGGTAGTTGAAAAGAATAAAAAAGGAGGTGAAAAAACAAAGGGTTGTGTTTGGAAATGTTTAAAATTAAACGAGAAGCAAATTGAATGGGAATCAAATTACGAAAGAAAACGATCCGCTTCTGAGGGGTGAGAAAATGACGGATGAGGGTGGATGCAAGGAGCGCTTTTAATTATTCCCAGCGTTTGATAAATCGGGTAGAGGCGCCGGGTAAATAACAGCCGCAGGAGGGATGAAAAAGCGTGAGAAATGATAAGTTTCCGGGGCATGTGTTGCGCACGTACAATGGATGCGGATCTGCAATTTTCCGGATACATCTTTTTCAATATGTTTTTTTTTTTCAATATTTTTGTATACTTTTTTTTTACTTGTTGTTCAAGAATTCATCGTTTATAATTTTGTTGCAGACAAGCGTCCAAGATGAAGATGAGCAAAGTTGGTAACCAGACGAACTCGCAGGACCCGCAGGCAGTCAACTCGCGCGTCTTCGTTGGTAACTTAAACACATTCCAATGCTCCAAAACGGATGTCGAGAGGATGTTTCAGAGATACGGACGTCTTGCTGGTAATTACACAATGTTTCTCTTTACAAAAATTTATGTTTAGTTAATTTTTAAATCAAAATCTATAAATCTAGACAACATTATGTAAATCTTTTTTTTATGTATTGTCACTGGTATTAAGAAAACAAAATTGTAAATTTATGATTTAGTTTGAAAGTCTTGAATTTTCTTGTTTCATTTTTTATTTTATTTGAAAATGAGAAATTAAAGTTGAAAATCAACGTTTTCGTCAATTTTTATATGAAATTATGTAAATCTTAAATTTACGTTATTATTGATAATAAAAAAATATGCAGTAATCAATGATGTAGTAAAAATTGTGTAAGTTTTGAATTTACTTTTTTCTTTATTTATAATCATTGGTAATAAGAAAATTCTGCAATAATCAATGATTTGGTAAATTTTTCGACAAAATTGTGTAAATTTTGAATTTCCTTCTTTCATTATCTATTTTATTTGGAAATGAGAAAATTTGTTAATTTCTAGATGAATTTGTGTAAATTTTGAATTTTCTTTACTTTTTTTTATAATTATTGCTAATAAGAAAATAATACAGTAAATCAATATTTTCGTTAATTTCGTTAATTTAAGACAAAATTGTGTAAATCTTCAATTTACTTCTTTCTTTAGTTTTTCTCAGTTGTAATAAGAAAATTATAAAGGAAATCAATGATTTGATAATTTTTTAGACAAAATTGTGTAAATTTTTGAATTTACTTTCTTTCTTTACTTTTTATCATTGGTAATAAGAAAATTATTCACGAAATGTATGAATTGCTAAATTTATAGACAAAATAGTTCAAATTTTGAATTTACATAAATATGCAGTAAATCGATGATTTGGTAAATGTTTCAACAAAATTGTGTGAAACTTGTATTTCCTTCTTTCATTATCTATTTTATTTGGAAATGAGAAAATTAAGTTAAAATTTTCTTTACTTTCCATTTATTTTTAATTAATGCTAATAAGAAAATAATATTATAGTAAATGAATGTTTTCGTCAATTTTTAGACAACATTGTGTAAATCTTGAATTTACTTTTGTTTTAGTAGTTTTCATCAGTAATAATAAGAAAATTATAAAGGAAATCAAGAATTTGATACATTTATGATTTGATAGACAAAATTGTGTAAATTTTTTGAATTTATTTTGTTTTTTTACTTTTAATCATTGGTAATAAGAAAATCATACAGGAAATTAATAATTGGAAATTAAATTAATAATTTGGTAAATTTTAGAACGAAATTATATAAATGTTCAATTTAATTCTTTCATTATCTACTATCTATTGGAAATCAATATTTTAGTCAATTTTTAGACGAAATTGTGTAAGTTGGTCTAATAATATGTATTTAAATTGGTAATGATAAAATGATGTAGGAAATCAATGTCAAACAAAATTGTGTGAATTTTAAGTTAGCCAGTATTATTATATTTTTTTATTGTAATTGGTAATGAGAAAAACAAACAAAGTAAGTAAGTTGTTATGCAACAAAGTTCGAGGAAGCGAACGAATGCATACGGAATTCGAAATACGGAAGAACGAAAGGATAATATATCCTTCGGGGCAACAATTAATATCAATAAAAGTCCGACTTTTATACGGATGGGCAGCTTTTAAAAGCGGAAATAATCGATACATTGTGCATTATTCAGTTCGGTTCCCGATGCGCCTCTCTCTCTCTCCTCTTGTCCGTTCCATTTTTACGTTTCCTTCCTTCCCATCCATTCCCACCCTTTGTGCTGTTGCTTTCGTCCTTCAAGACTTTCCTAAATAAATCGCCTTCGGGCATTTGCATTTTTTACTATTTGCATAATTCCGCCGACAATTTTTCACCGAACGTTAATTATAAAGAATCCGTTTCTTTTTGCCTCGAAAATTACGAAAAGAAAAACAATTTTTTTTTGATATGTGTGTGAATTTATAGGTGCGAATTAATCAAGCGAGGTTTGTTTTCGTTCAACAGCTGCTTTTCGTTTCATTATTTTCTTTGTGTGTGTGTGTGTTTCGGAACCTGAATTAATGTGTACATATTTTGATTAAGCTTTACTTACGCTAATTAAAATTACATCACGAGCTTAAAATAAATCTGGGATAGGTGTAACACTTTTTTTTTCTTTCTTCTTCTGTTAATTAAAAGAGTGTAAGTAGAATTTATCAAAGTCTGTTCGTCATTATATATAAAAAAAAAAGTTAATTAATTTATATCCAATTGTGAGAAATTATCAACAAAAATATGTGTAGTTTCTAACTTTACTTTTTTTATATTAATAATACAAATTTATTGTCTCGTTATTATTTCTAAAAGAAATTTGTTGAATTTGAAAAAAGGTATTGGAAATTAGTGATTGGGTGGAATTGTAGGAGTTGAGTGGATTGTGTTTTCTGCTGAATTTTGTTGAATATTCAAGTGATGGAGGAAGGTGGAGGAGGTAAAGGAAAAGAAGCAAGAGATAGGTTGTAATGTTATTTGTCTGGTTGAGATGCTGGGAGGCACGAGTATGGGTTTATATAGAGATCTGAGGGAATAACTAAGAAGTAATAAAGTGGAAATCGAATAGAAATGAACCGGGAACAAAGCGTATAAACCGCTCCGCTATGAAATCCCATTCGAATCTCCTTTCGCGGTGCGCTGGAGGACGAGAAGGAGAAGGGTCGAGGGATGAGTGAGTGTGTGTGAGGAAGACGAGGGATGAGATAGGAAGGAGAGAGACTGAGCGAGAGAGAGAGGATGGACTGCAATGAAGTTAGCGATGAGAAATGGATGGAAGTCTCCAGTCAATTTATTGGCCACCCATCCAGAATCTAATCAGGGGAATTGGGTTAGTGATATGAAATTACCGAGGCCCCCCGTGAACACTGAACAACGACGATAAGACACTTCATTGGCTTCCTCTCCGGTGCCCTAAAATCGCGTTACGCCCTTCCAGAATCGAATGAAATGGACACGACGCAGAGCGAAACCGACAAAACAAAGTAAAAAACGAAACATCGAAGCGATATGATTCGGGGAGGAAGAAAATTAGGAAATAAGGGCGAAACAGAGATGGGATTCCGACGTAATTTCCAATCTGGATGCGCTTCAAACCTGAGGGGTGGTTGGACGTGAGAAAGGGGCGCAAAAATTGGGTGCAAAGAAGACAATTTCAGAAAGTAATTACATAAATAATGAGCGAAGTGTTTTAAGGGCTGAAGATTAATCCGCAAATTGCCAAACGGCAGCTCCTCCCTCGCTCACTTTCGCGAGGAAACCCATTTAAAACCCTCTCTCGCAGTCATTACTGGGTAAAAAATAAAAGCAACCTACAACAGCCCAAATCCTAATTTCCTCCTCCCTTCTTTTCATCTGCTCACTCACTCTCATATACATTGATAAACTTAAATTAAACTCTATAAATTAGGACGCTCTTTTCCGTACCTTAGATATATATTTTTTTTTGGGAGTACAACCGAACTTGGGAATGGGAATGAGGATGAGCGCAACACGTAGGAATAAATGTGTTGTGGCGTCGTGTTTATGGCTCAATATTAAGCCCTTATCCCCCGACGGCTCCAGATTTTTTCGCATATCCCATATATTAGAGGAGAGAGGGCAAGAGCTAGGGTGTCTGTAATGCGTGTCTGTAATGCGTGTCTGTATCTTTCTCTATATACATGTATTCTCAAAAGTGAGAGTGAGATAAAGATTGGGCATTCCTTCGCTGAATATTCTCGCGAAGAAAATCCCGGTTGACGGGGTGGAAAAGAAGGAACGCAGAGCGGGTTTTCCACCCTCCCGGATCATAAATGGCTCTTAAGGAAAGACTTTCCCTTTCAGCTTAAAAAATGTCTTTACACCTAAGCCAACAGATTTATATTTTTATATATATATATACACACACACATACATAGATAAAAAAAATAACACGAGAGACCGAAGAAAGTATATAAAGACATTTCATGGAACCGGGGCGGTTTGAAAATATTCCATAAAATGCTTTTTAAAAGGAAAATCTACTTCTTTTTTTGTGCTTACGCCTCAATTTTGATGGAAACAGCTTAATTTTTATATTGTTATTGCAAGCAAGACTAATCTTCAAATGTACATTACTTAATTTTTTTTTAATTATTTATACTTCAATAATTCCACTTATTACCTATGTAATAAGTTGTAAATATTGTTGACTTATAAATTACTAAATTTTAAACATTATCAAAGAAATGAAAATGTGTAAGACAAACAAATACAAACATTGTCAAAGAATTGAGGACTTGTTAAGAAGAACATTAAAACACTTTAGAATTTACATTTTTCTTAAAAAAAAAAAAAGAAAATTTCAAAAAGCACAAAGTAATTAGAAAATATATTAATTTTTCTATTCAGTAAAAGAAAAAAACATAATTCAATATTATCAGTTATCAAATTAATACATTTACATTTTCTATAATAATTTAGTATAAATATTATAATTATTAAAACACTTTAGAATTTACATTTTTCTTAAAAAAATAAGAAATTTTCAAAAAGCTTACAAAGTAATTAAAAAATATATTAATTTTTGTATTCAGTAAAACAAAAAACATAATTAAATATCAGTTATCAAACTAATACATTCACAATTTCTATAATAATTTAGTATCAATATTATAATTATTTTCACATAAATTTCATGAAATTCTGTAGCAATTTTAATTAATACTTGATTTTAATTATTAACTTTGAAACATTATCAAAGAAATATTTCTTTGTCGTTTTATTAAATTTCACCAATTATTTTTTTCAGCGAATATTTTCATTAGTAGCAAAAGGTTTTCTAATTACTTCATTTGTGTTTTTTTATTGTGATTAAGGAAATCAGTGAATATTTACTGTTTTCTAAAGTATAAAAGTTTATTATAAATACGATAAATGTAACTTCTCTTATTTCAAATAAAATTAAAAAAAAAAATGCTTATTAGTTTACTGTTGAACCTCGAGTTTAATCCGTTCCAAAAATTCCGGATTTTTACTCGTATAATGAAACATATTCAAAAACACACATAATATGTGTACACAAGTTTTAAAAATGATGAAGCAGGCGTGCAATCCGGGACTTCTCTTCTCATCATTACTCGTTATGTGAAACGTTGCTCGTCAAGCGAGGTTCCACTGTATATAGTTTTTCTTCATTATAATAAAACAATTAATTAAATTAGAAATTGATTAATTAGTTATTAGGAAAAACAGAGACATTAATTAAAATGAATCTGTGGGTTTACAAAAGGATTTAAATTAATTTTCGCGTCGATCGGGGGGAATAAAAGTGTGGATTATTGGTTGTGGTGGCGCGATTAAAAATTTCCCGACGATGGTGGTGGCCGTGTTTTCACGCCAATTTTTTTTTTCAGTGTCGTTTGTTTTTTGTATCGGCGCACACTGGATTATGCAACGTTATCCGATCGCGGATTAAATTACGAATAAACGCGGCTAATTTACGAGGCCCAGTCAACAACAAACAAATAAACAAACAACAACAGGCTACAACATTATATTCGATTTTAGCGTCATCCTCCCGCCAAATACGAACTACTTTTATTTCATCCCCCCACCGAAATGTCCGTGTTTGTTGATCCAGAGAGCGGGTGAAGGGTATGGTTAGGGCGGACTGGGTTTTCGGTAATTGCAGTGATTTTCAATCGGACGAAACGGTGTCCGTTTCGGCTTTAATTAAATCCAAATTACGGCACCATTTCGTTGCTACCCCTTCCAAACAAAATTCGACATTCCCTTTTTTTTTCCTTTTTGGAACTTTTCACCCTTACCACTATTTTTTTTTTATAAATTCTATTCCACGTTTGCAGACGATTAATTAATTTAATTTAAACATTTATTAAAATATGAAGCGATTAATCTACTTCCAACTCTTCTGGCGCATTTTAATTTCAATGTGCAATTAAACGCGAGACATTCACTTTTTTTTTCTCTCTCTCGCAACGCGGTTTCTATTTTGTATTATTTTCTGGCCATCTTCACTCGCCCGAATACACTTTATGCAAAACCGGTCCGGCAATCTGCATATTAAATAATTCATAATACTCGCTCTTACGAAAATTACCGCACATTTTATATTTATATTTATCATCCACTACTTGTTTCCTTTTTTTCGCTCCGATTTTTCTACTCTCATTTCTTCTTTATTTCCTCTCAACTACGAGAGACTTTGTAGAGGTTTTTTTTCTTTGTTTGCTTCTGTTTCATTTGATGAATCGCCAAGGTGGAAAATTATTCACGCTTTAAAATGAATATTTTACATATTTTACACTAAACTAAAAGATTGTATTTTAACGTCAGTAAATTGACGTTGATTTATAATGAAAATAAATTTGAGTTTTATTAACAAAAGAAAAGAAAATTTCACTCAATTTATTCAAATTTTCATCAAATTTAGATTTAGTACATAGAATTGCATTAGTTTTATTTATGAAATATATTTAGTTATGATATTTAAATAAAAGTAAGTTAGAAATTAAAAAAATACTAATTCTAAACTAAATAAAATAAAGTCGAATCAACTTAAATTTACAAAAAATGTTGTTTTTTGAACTTTTATATATAATTAATTAATATTAAAAAAAGTTTTTCTTTGTAGAGATGCGAAATTCCATTTAATTTTCGTTTTATTTTCATTTCATATATTTTTTATTGTTCATTTCTTTCTCTCGTATAATGAATATTTGAATGCGTGCGATGAGATCCGGGGCGTCGCGGGAAATCGCGCGGCTTCAAATTAGGATGCGAGAACGTCCTTTAAATACTTGATGCCTAGGCGAGAGAGGTTTCCTGGTTTGCGCAGAGATCCGCACGGCCGACTGCTGGAAGGACCCCATTGAATTTAACATGATCAAGACATCCATGCATCTCCCAAACGTCATACCTTATTCAAATCCATCGTCTGTTACTGCCAAAACCACCATTATCATCATCATCAGCGGATGTCAACCTATGGACTGAGACACATTAATGAGTCGTAAAATTACAGCTGTCAACTTGTGTCAAAGTGTCATATTTTTTAATAAACAATTGGGACGCATTACAATTAAAAGTTGAGATTCATGCATCTCCCAAACGTCATACCTTATTCAAATCCATCGTCTGTTACTGTCAAAACCACCATTATCATCATCATCTGCGGATCTCAACCTATGGACTGAGACACATTAATGAGTCGTGAAATGACAGCTGTCATTTGTGTCAAAATGTCATATTTGTTTTAATAAACAGTTGGGTCGTATTACAATTAAAAGTTGAAATTCATGCACCTCCCAAACGTCATAGCTTATTTAAAACCACCGTCTGTTACTGCCAAAAACACCATTATCATCATCATCAACGGATCTCAACCTATGAACTAAGACACATTAATGAATCGTGAAATTACAGCTGTCAACTTATGTCAAAGTGTCAACAAAAAAGTTATCATTGACAACTTGACAAATTTTATAATTGTGCTTTTCTTACGTAATCCTATCAATCATATTTGATCCAAAACCTCCGTTTATTACTCATTATTATCGATTCATCGTGTTCTATTTAATGATCTTCCAAATTCAACGATTTTTTTTGTGTTTTAATCAATTTCGAACTCATCACCTTCGTATAGGATTTTGTTTCATACAGCTTATGCAATTTAAAAAAAAACTTGACAGATTTTTCTTCTTCTTCTTCAAATATAATTATGTTGTTCTTACGAAATTCAAACGTTGCCAAAACAGAAACGAGAAATAGAATACAATAAAGACGCAGATTTATTGCATTTAAGTGTTCCATTTCGAAATGCAACGTTCCGCATTTATTAGATACACTAATTTCGTAATAACACTGTCAGATTGAGTTGTTTGTTTGCTAATCTAGAAAATATATTTATATCATCTGTGGATTATCTTTTAATACATTAGAATAAATTGTAACAGTTTATACTTAATTAAATTACTAACTTAATTCATAATTTTCAACTGTCAGATAAGTTACATAACTTAATATAAAATAAACGCCATCTGTTATTTAATATTTGCAGTAATTGCTTAAATGACAGTTAAAATAAACTAATAGGAATAGTATCAAGTTTTCAATCAATCTGGTGACAAATAAAGTATTGAAAATGTACCAACTTAAATGATATTTTTTTGACATTTATGTGTCAAGTTAAGAAGTAGTGTCAATTATCTATTACTTTTTTTTTTTTAATTATCTGAAGTATGTGTATTGAAAAATATTGTTTTAAATATTGATTTTAATTAAATTTCTTTCGTTTTTTTCAGGAATTTCAATGCACAAAGGTTATGCTTTCGTCCAATTCACGAATCCGTTCGACGCTCGCAGCGCCTGCTTGGGAGAGGACGGCCGCACTGTCCTCAGCCAGATCTTAGGTAAGTCCAAAAAGAAAAAGAAAAAAATAAAAGAACAGAAAAATATTGCATTGATTTTGGGTGAAATTGGGTGAAACGAGACAAAGATTTATTACGAGATCCCCAATTTTGTTTTCATCCTCCCCCATAGTCCTTCGCCCGAATATAGTATTCCGCGTCTCCTTGCTCGGAAAAGTGGAGACTGGAGTCGGGTACGTGGAGCGAATCGCGGATTAATTCACAATTATGTTGTCCATCATCCCGAGATCATTTTCCGAAAGGTTTTATAGGATCACCGGGCCCATATAAATTTATGAAACTTTTCCAGAAGCTTCTCCTCCTTGTATTATACTCACAAAACACAGATTTGTAGCGAGATTTTCGATTTTAATCCGTTTTAAACACTCTTTTCTTTTTCTCGTTGTTTTTTTCTTATATTTTTCTTTTTGGAGAGTGAGAGAGTCCGGTATATTATTTTCGGAAGAGGCGGTCATGCGGCAAGCGAACTTGGTGTGAATTTAAAATTGAAAATTTACTGCACCATAAACTCCCTATTTTGCGCCACATTAATCGGCGGATTAAAGACGTGTGAGAGGGAACGAGAAGGGGCGGATGTGGGTGGTGTTTTCACGGCTCGCGGCTGCACCGAAACCTGCCACTTCAGCCGTCCTCCGCAACATAGTTCGAAAACCGGACGACTCCTTTTCCTCCACTTTCGACCCATGTATGTATGTGTTCCGGGCATTCCTTCCTTCGTGCAGAATCACATATATTAGCTCTTTAAAAAGCAATTTTCCTGTTAGCAACTCCTCAGCAGATTATTGCCAGCCCGTTTCGCGTTTAGATCCTCGGCCACCGATACGCAGGCGACACCCTCAACCCCTAATTGCTTACTCAACACTTTACCACCGTTCCTTCCCTTATTATTTCGTCTTGCATAACTTTTTTTTTACACTCCAATTCTTTTTAAGCCAACTCAAACTCTGCAAAGAATCCAGATTACATAATCTTAAAATTGACTCCAATTTATTTATATCCAATTTTATATATATATTAACTATACTTTTTGTATATTCTTACATAACAATTTTGTATGTATTTTTTTATACATAAAATATTGAACCAATTTCTTATTTAACAATTTATTTTAAGATTTTTTCTTAAATTATAAAATTACTATTTTGGAAATTTTCAATTATAGAAAACGTAACTGTTATGATAGTAAAAGTTTTGTTATAGTAAAAAGTATGAGTTTTTATTTTTTAATTTCATTAAATAGAATTTTGTATATTTTGTAGAAATGTGTTATGCAAAATAAAGGAAATGCAAATAAAGGTATGGATATGGATTTCTATAGTAAATCATACGAGCATGAATGAAAAATAAAATTGTGGCAATTAAAAGTTTGCAGAATGTTATGTGTACGTTGTATAAATATGTGTATATAACAAAAAAATGTATATGGATAAGGTGAATAGGAATAAAAGTGGCGTAACGTTGTAGCTCATGCATAAACAACTATGATATGGTTGGAGCGAGACTGATTTTAACTGATGGTTCGACGTCAAAATCGGTTTTCCGGGAGCGAAGCGAGAGGCGAGAAAATGTACACTTCGTACCTGGTGCAAATTTGATAGAGTGGATGTGATAAAAGGGATGCGAAAGTAGGAAAAGAAGGATGAAGCAGAGGGAATCTTTGAGATGCAAAAATGCAGCTTTGTCGAAGAAGAGCAGGATGGCTTTTATCTCATCAGCATTTATCTCATCGGGGAAGGCTGATTCCATAAAAATCCGGATGCTTATTCCATTTGTTCCGTGATATGGGAGGGATTGGATGAATGAATGAATGGATGGAATTATGAATGTGTTTCTTTTTTTTTTGTTGGGGATGGAGTTCGAAGTATTATTAAACGAAAAGGGCCTTCGAAAGAGGTAATTAAGGTGTGCGTGTCTCGAAAATTATTTTATTGCCCGGCAAAGGGAATTCAATTTTCGTACCTACCGGGGTTGAAATATGCAAGATAATGAAAGGTAACTGGTGTAGTAAAGAAAAGACGGAGGTGGAGGAAGAGTAGAAGGTGGAGGAGGAGGAGGAGAGTTAATGGCTTTTGCGAACGTGGCCCGAATAGCGAAACTTTTATATGCCGTTTTGCGCGCGCCCCGGCCGGAAAGATGATGGATTGCGCGAAACGAGGAATGAGAAAGAAAGAGAGACACAGACGTAGTATGGACATGTTAGAAGGAAAGGAAGAGCGAGACGAGAAGCGCAAGAAAAGGAAGATATAAAATCCGCATTTAATCCAGAAGCGCATTTCTCCGGAGATATCCTTCATCTCCATCCAAACTGCAAATATTGTCGTTTGATTTTCGCGCCTATTCAATGATCATAATCATAGCAATAATGATTACCATAAGTTATCAAACTTCTTAATAAAGTCATAGAAATATAAGTCAAAATCTCTTGGAATTTAGGAGCTAAGATTCTATTATTAAAACTAAATTAGTATCGAAACTTAGTAAATGTTGCAACTATTAATATTAACAGTAAAACTTTTCAAACTTTTCACCAAAGTTATAGAAACATGAGTCAATATCTTTTGGCAATTAAAAACCTAAGCTATTATTATTAAAACTTGTCAAAATTAGTATCGAAACTTATTACCAAACTCGTAGTAACATTTTCCAATTCATACCTGATTCAATTGTTGAGTACAAAGATGAAAATTGTTAAATTTCTTAGTAAAGTCATAGTAATATGAATGAAAATATTTGTGCAATTATTAATTAATGAAATAGTAAAGTGCAAAAATCGATTAGAATTGAAATCATCTTTGAAATGCAGGTAGTATTAATATTAATAGAAATAAAAATAGAAAAACTTTTGTTCTGTCCTGTATGTTGTGGACCATCGCTATTCACCATTATAGGAATAGAATGGAACACACGCGTTGTTTTATTATATGGGGCCATATAAATCCAGCGAAAACAGATTTCAAAACTTAAATTAGTTTCTGCTCTGGTCTGCTGGGAGATGCCAGGTAAAATTGGAGATTCCTGGGGCGCATTGGATGAGATAGAGAAGAAAAAAAAAAGAGGCATGAAGAAGAAGCAAGGATGAGATGGTTGGAGAAGGTGGCCCTTCTCGCATACGTGGGACGTGCTACGCGTAATCCCGAAATGTATCTGCATGCTAACAAGTTGCTGCTTCTGCTGCAAGCAGAAGTTAGGAAAAAGAATATAGATCAAAGCGTAATGCCATCACCATCAAAAAAACATGAATTGAAATCTCAACGTGTTAATTTATATGGTTATTTCAGAGCTGGTAATTAGTTGAAAAAGCACTCGAGGTGTGTTGATTCGCAACTCTAGTTGATTAATTGCCTCTGGAATCTCTTCTTTACTTTCTATATAAAAATAGAACATGGAGTGCGGAAGACGAGGCACTCAGATGGAGACCTCTTAGGACGTCTTCTCCGGAGAAGATTTACACGGTCCGAGTGGCAAACAACAACAACCAAAAACAACCGTTTCTCTTCCCTATTCTTTTCACGCCAAACTGCCGATGGTAGATAAATTTATTAGGTAATACTCGCTGCAAGAAGCGTCTATGCAAGCTAGAAACGATTTATTTCCGCACCGGTTTTCTCAATTATCCGTGTAATGCAACTAATTTGAAGAATTGTTCATTGGTAATGTTTTTTTTTAACAGATATTAACAATTAAATTCGATTATTACAAATTCATTTTTGAGACATTCCGTATTCTTTAATTTTCATCAATTTTACACCAAGCATTACTTATATTATTCTATTATGAGAAATCGAAAATAAACTTAAATATTTACTTAAGGAAATTTCAAAAATTACATTTATTCAAATCGAATTTTTTTACAGTTAATATCGATGAATTGAAACTTATTTTTGAGAAATTCCGTATTCTCCATATTTCTTCAATTTTCTCTCATACATTACTTATATTACACTGTTGCGGTAAATTGAAAAGAAACTTAAATATTTATTAAGAAAATTTCAGATCTTATTTTTTTTTAAACCGATATTTAAACAGGTAATATCAACAAATTCAAATTAATTTTCAATCTTTCACTAAACATTACTTATATTACTCTATTACGAGAAATTGAAAAGGAACCTGAATATTTATTAAGAAAATTTCGGAAATTACTTTTTTTTTCTAATCGACATTTGAACACTAAAAATCGATAATTTCAAACTTATTTTTGAGAAATTCTGTATTCTCCAATGTTCTTCATTTATCCATCAACCATGACTTAAATTACTGTATTACAATAAATTTCAAAGAAACTTAAATATTTATTAATAAAATTTCAGAAATTACATTCATATTGAAAGTTTAAAAGTTAACATCAATAATTTCAAACTTATTTTTGAGAAATTCCGTATTGTCCAATATTTTTCAATCTTTCACCAAACATTACTTATATTACTCTATTACGATAAATTGAAAAGAAACTTCAATATTTATTTAACAACATTTTGGAAATTACATTTTTTCAAATCGATATTTTAACAGTTATAATCGATTATTGAAAAACTTATTTTTGAAAAATTCCGTATTATCCAATTTTCTTGAATTTTTCTTCATTTATCTATTAATTATGACTTATATTAGTGTATTACAATAAATTTCAAAGAAACTTAAATATTTATTAAGAAAATTTCAGAAATTACATTCATATCGAAATTTATATCAATAATTTTAAACTCAAATATGAGAAATTCCGTATTGTCCAATATTCTTCAATCTTTCACCAAACATTACTTATATTACTCTATTACGATACATTGATAAGAAACTTCAATTTTTATTTAACGACATTTTGGAAATTACATTTTTTCAAATCGATATTTTAACAGTTATAATCGATTATTGAAAAACTTATTTTTGAGAAATTCCGTTTTCTTTAATTTATAAGCATTGCTTATAATATTCTGTTACGAGAAATTGAAAATAAACTTAAATATTCACTTAAAGAAATTTTA